ATGAAGAAAAGGCTGAGGTACTTAATACCTTCTTTGCCTCAGTCTTTAATAATAAAACTCAGTTAGCCAGGACTGCTGGTAAATGAGTGGAATTGGCTTGGTGAGCACTTCTGCCAGCTCCCTCACCACCCTTGAGTGGATCCCATCCGGCCCCGTAGACTTGTGTGTGTCTAAGCAGTGTAACAGGTTGCTCGTTTTGCTCCCCATCCCCTTCTTCCAGCTCAGTGAGCTGGGTAACCAGAGAACAACTGGTTTTATTATTAAAGACTGAGGTAAAGAAGGCATTAAGTACGTCAGCCTTTTCTTCATCCTTTATCACTATGTTTCCTCCTGCATCCAGTAAAGGATGGAGATTCTCCTTAGCCCTCCTTTTGTTGCTAATGTATTTATAGAAACATTTTTTTATAGTCTTTTATGGCAGTAGCCAGATTAAGTTCTAGTTGGCTTTGGCCCTTCCAATTTTCTCCCTGCATAACCTCACGACATCCTTGTTCTCCTGAGTTGCCTGCCCCTTCTTCCAAAGGTCATAAACTCATTTTTTTCTGGAGTTCCAGCCAAGGCTCTCTGTTCAGCCAAGCCAGTCATCTTCCTCACCAGCTCATCTTTTGGCACATGGGGATGGCCTGCTTCTGTGCCTTTAAGATTTCCTTCTTGAAGAATGTCCACCCTTCCTGGACTCCTTTGCCCTTCAGGACTGCCTCCCAAGAGACTCTGTCAACCAGTCTCCTAAACAGGACAAAGTCTGCCCTCCAGAAGTCCAAGGTAGCCGTTCTGTTGACCCCCATCCTTGTTTCTTCAAGAATCAGACTATCATTTTATGATCACTAGCCCGAGATGGCCTGAATACCTAAGATTTGTCCTGAATCTTGACATTTAACATAAGTACAGAGATTAAAATAAAGAGAATGGCTACCTATGATTTAAATGAGTACCTTCAGATACTAAAAAAACTGCCATCAAATGATTGGGTAAACAATACAAACTCTTATGATACTTTAAATGTTACCTGCAGGAAAGAAATTTCCTTGATTTAGGAACCCACTTGAATTTAATAGTGGAAATAAAAATTATGAAAAAAATCGTATCCCTAAAATACTGAACACCTGCATTTGGGTTTTTTTCTTGTGCTGTATCGCTTATTTTTTAAATATGCATCACAAAATTCTGGCTTTAAAATTGCATTTTCAAAATTAATCAATAGTACTTGCTTAAAAAGATAGGTATTCACTTGATCTGTGCTTCAACTTCACCCTTATAATTAATTTTACAGGCAGTAAAAGCTCTTTGGTTAACACTTTCTATAATTTCCCATACAGGAAATTTGAATGTAAATTTCAGCACTTAAAAATGCAATTACAAGCTTGAATACTTATGCTTCAGTAGTTCTCCAAGGTGCAGAGAAACCTCAGCTTCTGTAAACCAAACGTGCAGCTTTTGGAGTTGAGCCCATTTACATTTGCAAACATGCCTGAGTGACCTGGAACCTCTTAACAGCAAACATAAGTGAATGATCTAGGCAGTTGTTTGGTGTATATAGTGATTAGGTCAAATTAATGATGGGAATAATTGTAAACATTTCAATACAATTTAGTTCCTTGATTTTACTTAACTTTTAGAGAAGTGTTCACAACTCAGGTATAAATTGTTAATACAAGATTGGCATGAAGTAAAACCAAAAATCCCGCAGGACAGGATTTTCCATTATGGTTGTACTATATTGCTCTGCTGGGTTACATATTTTGTGAACTTGACTAATCAGCAGAAGTTATACATAATGTGTGTGTTTCTATGCATACATATGCATACCTGTATAACATTTATAAACATACAGAGCAGGGACAAAAACTTGGATTCATTCTTTCTATTCTGATCTATTTACTCACTATCACCTCTTTCATTAAAAAAAACGTAATCAGGTATGTTGGAAAAAATCATCAACTGAGGACAAGAATTAATTCTGCTGTCAACTGTGAATGTGACCACATTCAGTGCTACAGTAGATCACATGAAAGGAGTAGTTTGGCCACAATGAGACAACATCTTCCACAGGTATGCTTACAGACATGTTTGTGTTGTATGTGGAATAGATACTGATGGTTAGAAAGATTAATACAGACTTGGATATCTCAGTAATAGTCACACCCAAACACTGTTGTGGAAGCTGTGATGGCCTCCAGAATTCATGCTCTGTTCATTATTTGCACTTAATACTATTTTCTAGTGCACAGAATGGAGTAAAATGTTTTTCTGAATATCTATAGTTAACATACAAATGAAAGCAAAAGTGTTTTTTGACTATTAGATAGCTGGAGCGTTCATGAAATCAACCCAAAAGCTTTCTTTGTGTCCTCTCAGCTGTGGCAGTTGCAGTTAATTGCTAACACATTTCCCCAGAGGTGCATTGGCAAAAACACTCATTATACTGGTGGATCAACATTAGAGTGTACTGAAATGGGTATATTATCTTACGTGCTAGTAGGAAAAAACAGGGGAAAAGGGAAATCAGTGCTAACCAAATATGCCAAATATAGAAACATAAAATCTTGTACGGAAGTTAACATTTGGCTTTCAGGTTTCTGAGGGAATATCATTATAGAAAAGTTTACAAAGTAGCTTCAAAATTGACTATGATTTTAATAGGGAATATGAAAACTTATTCAAGAACATTGCTGACATTGAGGGTGCAGAAATATTAACAGATTTTCAGTAAATAAAAATATTATCTTAGAATTGCTGAGATATGAAACAACTTCTTTCAAATATAAGCAGTTAAATGTCAATACCCTAAATAAGGAACCTTACAAATATTTTAAAGGCACAACAAATCATTTTGTTTCAGCTATCACAGTCTAGTCAGGTCTCTGCCCCACCAGAGATGTGTTATAATTGGCTGTGCTGGGCAGGAAGCTTGTGTGGAGCTCTTGTAATTCTCTGTGGTTCCTGACACCTGGACAGTTCGATTACTGTCCAGATTCACCACCTTGAAGTCTTTTCCACAAAGAAATGAATGATGACCATGCCACAAATATCTTGCAGTGAAACTACTATTAATGGAGATTCCTATTGATATCTGCTTGCATCACCTCTTTTCTCTTTCTCTTGCTGTGCAGCTGCACACTCTGCAGAGTCTTATCAAGGATGAACAGTCCCCAGTGGCTTTTTAAAAATATTTTTTGATAATGCTGAGGACATTGCACACAAAAAAGAAAAGGGACACCAATTTCTTTTGACCAGTATGGGTTAGACTTCAAATTGTTTAATGAAATTGGCCTGGGAAAAAGCTAGTCCCAAGGGTAAGAATGTACATATGGAAATAAAATCATAGTGAATTGATGGATATATTTTTTTGGTTGTGTTTTCTGAATAGACAGACAGCATCTGTGTTTTGCCAAAATACATTTATTGTTGTCTTTAATGACTGTATATACTGATAGGGTATAGATACAGCAAAGAACTCTTGTGTTAATTAATATCATATTATTTAAACAACTTTTGTGTGGACTTCTTCCTCTACCCTTCCAGAGGAACTGTTTGAGGAGCCAGTCTGCATTGTTATTCGTTAATAAAAATATCTTTGAGAATATGAAATAAATATGTACATTTCAGCTTGAATGAGCTTTTAATACTTAAAAGTCTGAGAGAGTTGCAAAGTTTGAACTTGTAACTATATTTACTTTCTAGTAAATAATTTGCTGTTGAAATGTTGTGATGTGAAATATGTTACGTTAATAAAAGTGAACGAAGATGGCTGCTTCTTTACTTACCATGTTCTGGAATTTGTAAAAGGAGTAAACTCATCTGAAAGCCAAATACCAGCATTTTCTTTAGTCTGGTATAATGACACAGCATTTCATTACTTAATGTTTAATACTGAATTATTAATGTTATTTAAAATTCAGAAGTGTATTCCATGTGCATCTGGTCTGAAAGCAAAAGTTAAAAAGCAGGATTAACAGTATATGATTGCCTCCACAGAACAGTATTTCAAGGGAAAGTCAATAAAACAGTCACAAAATTTTAACGTGTTCTTATTTTGCATTAAATTAATTCCCTGCAGTGTAATATAGACCAGAAAGGACAAAAGCATCACTATTCTTAGTAGTGCAAAGCATGTGTCTTTTATGTGCCTCTTTATTTAACTGATGTTAATGACAGTTATTTTTAAAATGGTGAATTTAGAGTCATAGTGGGTTAAGGACAAGTCGAGTGAAGAAAAAGTTAAATACAACCAAACAACTGCCATGCATAACAATAAGACTGTTTAATGCCTGAATAATTTTATTATTGAAGAAATAGGAAAAGTATAATCCAAATAAATGAGGCAAAAAAAGACTTTTTACAAAAATAATTGTTAGGACTGAGGCAGGGTCCGTATCAGTTACTCAGATGGGTCACTGCAGGCTATAATGAAGTTCTTCAGTCATATGTTAAAGTGACCATCAGTTTACTTGTGTATTGTCAGAGATTTTATGTTTAGCCTATGGTTTTATATTAGGGACATAATAGTCCAATTACTGTGTCATATACCAAAACTGTATTTTGCTAGCTATAAGAACTATTAATTAATGTATTTGAGAATTTATTTTCTTAGTTATGGAAAATCAACAAAACATACATTTATTGTAGCTGAAGACAGATTCTTATCATAGTAGCAGTCAAATAATGGTAACTGAATAGAAGCATAGAAGGGTATTTAAAATAGAGAGACTTTATAATCAGCTTGATATATGTGCAAGCAGGCTGAGTGGATTTTGTGTATTGCACATTAAGTTGATCTGGTTACATAAAGAATTGATCTTTACGCGTTGAAAAACAAAGATAGTGTGCTTGCATTTCGTTGTACTGTGCTTGCAGCACCTGTGCTTTCTAACAGTGGATGTACTTGTGTCCTGTCTCGTGAGACCAGAAACTACTCCATGGTGGTATGACTAAAGGGTGTGCTCTTGCTCCTCCCGTCTGGCTGCTGACTGCATTTTACTAAGACAAAGTGTCCACTGTCACTTCAGGTCCTCATGGTGCACTCTGAATTGCAGCCCGCTGATGCTGGGATGTGCAGGTACAACTCCACATTGTTTATCTCTTTGCATTTTAAGTCCGTTTCTTGTTGAATTGTCATTTCTTGATATGGGAGCTGGACTACATCAGTACCTGCCAGGAATGGCTCCATTGTATATGGGGGGCTATGTTAGCAGTTACAAGGGGTGCAGCTGTCCCTAATGAGTGATGGGCAGAGGTAGTGCCTCATGCATTTTCACTGTGGCAGGAGAGATCAGAAATGTTGATTGTGACACTGGCAAATGGTTGTTACACCTGAAGTAGTCATGGGTGTGGATGTGTGTGGCCTACATATATCTAATGAACTGATAACCTCCTGTTTCTCAACTTTTGATTTGATCTTTGAAAATATTTTGTTATTCAGGGTACTCAGAAATAAACTGTTATTGTGGAACAGGCCCTGGGATGCCTGTATGCTGACATATCAGCTATTTGTTGATATGCAAATTTATCTCAGTTCCACGTTGTGCAGAGTTCATTGCTGCTGTTCAGTGATTTCACTAAGGAATCCTTTGCCTTTAGCTGCAGGAAAAGCAGAAAAACTAGTGGAGGTATTCAGCTTGGTTTGAATTATTCAGCATGACAGGTCAAATGAAGAAGGTGGTAGATTGTCTTCATTTTACAATACAAATTAAGATTTTTGCTTTTCTCTATTGCTTCAGGCTCATGCATATTGTGTAGTTTAAAATGTTATGGGACCTTGACAGTGAGCTCTGTAATACAAGGGAGATAAATATTAGTGTCAAATAGACATTTTTAGGTATAGCAAACAATAAAAAATTTAGTATTTCAGCAGATACTTTTTCTGATATTTGCAATGACAATATTTTTACACCATTTCTAACAATAAGTAGCAAAACAAGGTTTGTTTTCCTTGGTTGTCTTAATCCCTTTGAAAATAACCAAAAGAACCATTATTCACTATGAATGAGGTTATCTCTCAACCAGGGTTTTGCTGCAGTTCCTAACATGTTGAAGGTTGCTTATCCTATGTTGGATGCAATCTATCATCCAAACAACTTTTAATGCATACAATTTTGGTGGTCTACTGCACAGGCTTTAATCTTCATCCAGCTCTTCCTAGCAGCCTCTGGAACCAACTTCTTTGCCTTCTTCAGTGTTAAAGATTATAAAATCACAAAATCACAAATGCCCTTAATGTTCCAGCCCTTTAACTACTGATTCTTTTTCTGAACTCTCCAAATTCTTTCCTAAATTGTGGACACAAAAATAGATAATCGTATTCTAGGAACGATCAACCTAGTACTGAATATTAAGGTGCTACTTATATGTCTATTGATGTTGTCAATGCCTTCATTGGCATTCTAAATCCTAAAAATTCTATTTTAATTCTAAATTCTAATTCTAAAAATTTCATTAGCCTTTCTGGCCAGGTTTTTGTACATTATTAAGTGATTAGACACTATGATCTAAAGAATTTTGTGTATTATACTCTTAGCATGACTGGTAAGCATATTTAGTAGACATTTGCAACAGTGAACAAAGGTCTCTTGGTCTTCTGTGCGTGTGTGTATTTAGGAGAAGAACAAGGCACCTAAATGCTTGTGAACAGTGAGAAGTGAGCAGAGTGACTTATGTCTAGGATTCATGTACCCAGAGTTGTATTGCTATTAGGTTTTATAGACAAGAAAGGAAAAAATATTATACTCTCTAAAGGGTCTTGAAGGGAGGCACACCTTTCTACTACCCATTTAATATTATTCAGGCATTTCTCATTTCGATATCTGAAGGGAATTTTAAAATGCATTGATTTTTCTCATGCCATGATATGCCATGATTTGATGTCTCTTTTGCTTCCTATTTCTTATGGACTCTGTAAGATTACTGGTAATGGCTAGATTCTAAAATAATTTTTAAAAAGCATTGAATATGGGAGGAAAAAAAATCATACAAGCACATAATTCAGATATGTGGGGGTGTTTTGTTGATTTTTTTTTTTTTTTTTTTTTTTTAATGTCCCTTGGGGTCTTAGCCTAGTAAGGTTTCTCTAACAACTAGTGCTGCAACCTGACAAACAGCAGAAACAAAATGAAAATATATATACCAGTGAGTTTACAGCTTAGCTTGTAAGCTAAAATGGAGGAGGAGGGGAGTAAAACTCTGGTTTAGGAACAGATACTTTAAGTACATGAATATTTCAAAGGTGGGGGGAAGGGACAGAATTTTCCCTGTTCACCTGTAGACTGCTATGCAATTACATTAGTTTCTATTATTTCAGTAGTGAAAATGACACACATTTCAGGGATCATTGGGGGGTAGTTTGTTTTTCATGAAAAGTAAGTACAGCTGCCAGCAATATCTTTTTATGTCAGAAGTATGTAATGTTTAAAGAAAAATGAAAATCTGGAATATACAGGGAAAATTTAACACGTAAAAATTACAGCTAAGAAAATGGTTAGGAAAACGAGTTGGCCACATGCGATCCTCTTCCAATTCATTGTACCGATTACAAATAGGCTGTTAGAATTAAGAAAGGTAAGTAATCTCTTACCATGATATAATCGTTGAAGAGTCCGGTGCCTAAGACGTAGTTAGAATGATTTTGACATCAGGAAAATCATTAGTAAGTCTGGGTACTAGCACAGTGTATGCTGTCTAAGACTGCTCTCTTCTTTATCACTACCAAATCTAGAGCTGAGCAATGGAAGTGTTATGGAAGATAAATTTATTTGAAGGGAAAAAAACCAAAACCAACTTCTGTGTAACAGCTGGTTTTAGACCCTCAAAAATATCCATAAGCGAAAAGTGCTGCTATTTCAATTCCATTCTGTATATTCTGAATTTTAGATTTGGCTACTAAATCAAAATCCTAATTTTTCTGCTGAGAGCTATAAAACTTGGACTTAATTTTAGCTACCACAATACTTTGGCTTGTTCAAATAGCTGCTTAATTCTGCTCTACTGTTCAATGTTAATGGTGGTGTTCATATTATTATGCCTCTTAATTTCAAGGTTTTATGAAAGATGGTTCAAGATTTCTGAAAAATTCTTCTAAGTTTTTAAACTTTAATAGTAGGTTACAGCTATGTCTGAATAATTTTGTTATGAAAACCGTAATAAGACAGTGTTTCCAGAATGCTGAGAAGACCTGCATGCAAATATTGGGGAGAGAGAAGGGGTATGATCTGAAGCAACTTTTACTCAGTATCGTTCTATTTTGGTACTAGCAAGTATGCAGGTTGTCATTTGCTTCCTTGAATGCTGGAGTCTCCTGTCATGGATGTGTCAGTCCACATTGCATCTAACAGCTCTAGTGGAAAAATGGTGCAATAATGGCTGTACAATAAATAGTTTTAGGAAACTGCTCTGAAACAATATGTTTGTGTATGAAATTTGGACTGCTAGTGATTTTATTAAAAGCAACTGTATTTTTGAAGTGATGCTGTTTTTTTGTAATTGGTATTAATACTGGGTATCATGACGTGACCTTTCCCTGTTGTAAGCAGGCTTAATTTCTTCATTTTTCTTTGTTTCCCTGTTCCACATTACATAGTTAAACATGCATAATGAGAAAACAGTTTGAAGCCTTGGGTTCTTCGTGCCTTTTCTGGATAGCTCTCTTCATTAATGTGAATTGAGTGGCACTGTAAAAGAGAAGCAGGCTCAGTGTTGTTTTTTTCTTTAATTTGGATGTCCTTGAGATGTATTACAGTCAAAATGTTTCATCCCCAAATAAAAGTTTATTCTCTTGAAACTAATAACAGGATTCCTACTGATGGCTAGAGTCTTTTCATAGGAAATGAGAGAGGAACAAGTAAGTGTATTAGCAGATCATAGGAAGATTGAGAGAGACAAATTTATTATCTATTCATCAGGGTATTTCACAAAGAAAGAGGTACAATTGTACAAAGAATTGGTGAGAATTTGTCTTGGGATACTGTGCCTGTCTCTGGTTGCTCAAGATCAAGCAATGTAAATTCAAAGAAGATGGAGTGTAAAGTGCTATTCCTTTGAGGTCAAGAGGGAATATACAGCGGGGAGGATGGAGGAATGGAAAGTGTCAGAGGGAGGAAGACTTAGGGCGTTGATACATCACTGAAGTGTGAATTCTGTTGTGCCTCTTAATGAAAATTAAAAGTGGGAACCTGATGTAAAAAATACTGTTATATGAGATCCACACAGTGCACATGTGATTTGAATATTATAACTATGGAAATGGCTTTCCTAGATGTAAAAACTTGAGCCAGAATTCATTATTATTATTACTATTCACAAGAAATTTTCTGCTCATGAACCTGTGATTTCAGCTTTTGCAGATGTTTTTATACTGTTAGATATTTGCATGATACTTTGAATAAGTAGCCTTTAACATATTCATTTGATCATGAGCTGTTTGATTTGCTCACTTGCTATTAATTATTTTACAGTATGCAATTGGTTACTTGCGCTTGTTTTGCCTGGGCTAGAGTTAATTTTCTTCACAGCAGCTCTTATGGGGCTGTGTTTTGGATTTGTGCTGGAAACAGTGTTGGTAACACAGGGCTGTTTTCCTCACTGCCGAGCAGGGCTCACACAGAGCCAGCCAAGGCCTTTTCTGCCTCTCACCCCACCCCACCAGCGAGGGGCTGGGGGGCACAAGGAGCTGGGAGGGGACACAGCCGGGACAGCCGACCCCAACTGACCCCAGGGACATCCCACACCGTACGGCATCGTGCTCAGCGGAGGGAGCTGGGGGGAGGAGGAGCGAGGGGGGGACGTTCGCAGCGATGGTGTTTGTCTTCCCAAGTCACCGTTACGTGTGAGGGAGCCCGGCTGTCCTGGGCATGGCTGAGCCCCTGCCTGCCCCTGGGGAGTGGGGGATGAATTCCTTGTTTTGCTTTGCTTGTGTGCATGGCTTTTGCTCTGGCTGTTAAATGGTCTTTATCTGGACTCCCAGATTTTCTCAGTTTTTTACTCTTCCAATTCTCTCCCCCATCCCACTGCAGGGGAGTGAACGACTGGCTCTGTGGGGCTGAGTTGCCGTCTGGGGTTAAACCATGA